TCTGGGCCCGGGGCTCTGCTCGCTCCCCGGCACGGCTCCAGCAGCTGGGCCTGCACATCGGGCAGGGGGAATACATCTGACCACCCTCTCTCGGGACAAGGCGAGTCTGGGATCAACAGGCTGTGTGGGGCCCATCCCCAGGGGGCTGCACCTGTACAAGCCCCACAGGTGATCGGGGCTGATGAAAGCAGAGCCCTTCCGCCCTCCCATGCGCCAGGGGCTCCCCCCCGATGCTGAGGGCGCCCTTGCCCCGTTCTGGGCAGCTGGGTACCATGCTGCTGGCTGCGATTGCTGAGCTAGGCGGAGCTGGAGCGAGTGCTCGCCGTGCCGGGATCGGAGCTGTGTCCTGGCCCCTCCGGGACCCAGTGACCCGGAGTTGTACCAGATCCTGCCAGCCCAGACCCGTGGGAGCAGCCCTGCCAGAGCCAGCAGGGAGTGGGCCAGGGGCACTGCCCACCAACGCCATCCTGCACCTGCTCTGCCCACTCCATCCTCCCCGGCTGGGGCACGTCTCCCAGCCTAAGGCCCCGGTGGATCCTGCTGCAGGGTGGGGAGATGTGGCTGGGAGTCCCGGTCTGAGAGCAGGCCAGGCGAGGCGCTCGACTCTGCCCCGGGCCCGGTGACCAGGTATTTCATGGCTGCCTTTGCTTTTCTCTCCTATTGGATCCACAGTGGTGACAGCGGCGCAGGCCAAGAACCTGATCGACGCGGGGGTGGACGGCCTGCGCGTGGGCATGGGCTGCGGCTCCATCTGCATCACGCAGGAAGGTAGGGGCGTGCTCCGGGCATCGCGGGGGGCCCTCGCAGCCCCAGGGGCTGGCCCCCATGGGGGTGAGCAGCCCCCGGCGGGGCAGGAAGGGCCCGGGCCAGTGTCCCGCCAGGCAGAGGCGTAGCTGAGGTTATGTCGGGGCTGCTCCTCCCCACCATCCCCTTCCCCCCCGCCGGAGGCTGGAGGCCTCCGGGCCCCTGCTCAGGCCAGGCAGGCGCTGCAGGGAACGGATTGCTCCTGTGCGCTCGGCTCTGGGCCTTTGTTGGCATGGCTGACGCCTGCAGCTGGCAGAGGAACCCAGCCCCACGCGGTGCCCAGCGTGTCAGTGGCCCACCTGTTGCCCCCACACGCCCGCCCCGGCGCTGACACACCTGTCTCTGGCTGCAGTGATGGCGTGCGGCAGGCCCCAGGGCACGGCGGTGTACAAGGTGGCGGAGTACGCCCGCAGGTTCGGCGTGCCCGTGATCGCTGATGGCGGCATCCAGACCGTGGGGCATGTGGTGAAGGCGCTGTCTCTAGGAGCCTCTACGGGTGAGTGAGACTGTCGCCGTGGGGCCAGGCTGCCTTTCCCCAGTGCATCCACCCCGCGCTGCAGGGTGTAACGATGCTGCCTTTGCTGGGACACTTCTGAGAGGACCAGTTCAGGACCAATTGCTGGGAGCAGGGCAGTCGCAGCCCAGAGCTGGGGGGTTTTCACTGCTAAGGCACCAAACCAGCTGGATAGAGAGGACTTTGGTCTCACCCCACTGACTAACCACGAGTCACACGAGCAATTCCCTTAGACACTCCAGTTTCCCAGTATCACCACCAGTGCCACTCGTTATGGGGACAAATGGTTATGAAAACCAATACCCCAGTAAAAGAAAAAAGGTTCTCCTGATCCCAAAGGACCAAGTCCCAGACCCAGGTCAATATATGAATCAGATCTTACCCACAAATCACGCTGTTGCCAATCCTTTAGGATCTAAAATCTAAAGGTTTATTCATAAAAGGAAGAAGATAGAGATGAGAGCTAGAATTGGTTAAATGGAATCAGTTACATACAGTAATGGCAAAGTTCTTGGTTCAGGCTTGTAGCAGTGATGGAATAAACTGCAGGTTCACATCAAGTATCTGGAACATCCCCAGCTGGGATGGGTCACTCAGTCCTTTGTTCAGAGCTTCAGTTTGTAGCAAGGTTCCTCCAGAGGTAAGAAGCAGGATTGAAGACAAGATGGAGGGTTTTCCAGGGCCTTTTATATTCTCTGCCATGTGGAAGGACCCCTTTGTTCTTACTGTGGAAAATCACAGCAGCAAGATGGAGTCTGCAGTCACCTGGGCAAGTCACATGTCCATGCCTGACTCAGTTTGCAGGCTGATGCCATCCTTTCCATGTTAGTTTGAACGTTCCCAGGAAAGCTCAGATGTGGATTGGCGTCTCCCAAAGTCCATTGTCAGTTCAGTGTTTCTTGATTGGGCAGTTACTGAGAATCGTCCCTTCTCAAGAAGCTGCCCAAATGCTTCACTGAGGCTACTGAGAATCAAAACTCATGGGGAGACAAGTACATGGCCCATATTCATAACTTCAGTTACAAAAGGAAACACCCATACAGACAGCATCATCATAACCAGCAAATTATAACCTTTCCATAGACACCTCACACGACAACCTTTGTACAACAGTTGCTGCAGATATATAACAGTGGTTGCAACAAGGATCTATACAGTCACAGTTTGTCAGTAACGTCACACAGGGATCCGCCGGGGCGCTCTCCCCTGGCAGTCAGTGCTGGCCTCGGTGCCTGGGGTGGCACTAGGGGGCACTGTACTGCAGGGAGCGGGGCGGGGGCTCAGCAGGGGGTGGTCTCCCCTCCCGGTCAGTGGTGGCTCCGGGGTGCCATGGCTGGGTGCATGAGATGGTGGTGGTGGTGTGGGTGGTGTTGGATTCCACAGGTGAATTCCCTCCATGCTGGGGGTGCTGGCCCCAGCGCGTTCAGCAGACGCCCAATACGTGGCATCCCCTGCGCCCCCAGACGCCCACGTTCAGCCCTGACGCGGCGATTGCAGTGGGGGCTCAGAGCCCGGCAGACGCGCTGCTGCCTGAGCCAGGCGGGACGGGGGGCTGCAGTCATGGTCTCTGCCGTGGCTCTAACGTCCCCCGTTCTCTGCCTCTCTCCCCGGCGCCCGGGCAGTGATGATGGGCTCTCTGCTGGCGGCCACCACGGAGGCTCCGGGCGAGTATTTCTTCTCGGACGGCGTGAGGCTGAAGAAGTATCGGGGGATGGGCTCGCTCGACGCCATGGAGAAGAGCAGCAGCAGCCAGAAGCGATACTTCAGGTGTGGGGCAGGGACCCCTGTGTCCAGCCTGGGCTGGGGGGCGGGAGCCGGGAAAACAGCCTGCCAGGCAGACGCTGGGCGCAGCTTGGCGTGGGGGAGCGGGGCAGCTGGAGGGGGTGGGGGTGGGCAGGCTGGAGGCAGGAGCAGGGCCCCCCCGTCACAGCCGCCGTGTTCTCCCCCCACAGCGAAGGGGATAAGGTGAAGGTGGCGCAGGGCGTCTCCGGCTCCATCCAGGACAAGGGCTCCATCCAGAAGTTCGTCCCATACCTGATCGCGGGCATTCAGCACGGCTGCCAGGACATCGGGGCCAGGAGCCTCTCCATCCTCCGGTGAGGGGCGCGGGGGCCGGGGCGCGGCTGCGGGTCTCGCTCGGCCCTGGGCAGGCTGTCCTGGGAGGGGCCTGCCTGGTGAAATCAGCCCAGCCCTGCCCCAGCAAGATCCCGGGAGGGTGGGGACAGATGGCATCTGAGGGGTGAGGAGCCGAGCCGGGGGCTGCAGCCGGGCCAGGCTATGGGGAAGCAGCTGAGCTTCCCACCCGAGCTCATCCCCCCAGACCGCGCTGAGGGTGTCTCACATGGACAGCGGCCGCAGCGCCCGGGGGCGCCACAGGACGGGAGAGGCCATGGGGCGGCTGATCGGGCCCTGGGCCACGTGGGCGCTGCTCCGGGGCCCCGTTAGGTGGGCAGTTACGTCACTGAGTCCCGGGGCTCTGGGTGGGGTTAGATCCTTGTGAGGTGTCCCAGTTACTGCCTGGGGCCGGGCCGGGGCACCGTGGTGGGGCTGACGCAGCTGGGCAGCATTGTCGTGTGTGGGGTTGCTGTGGTGGGGATGGCGCAGCCTGGGTGGGCCGGTTGCCATGGCGGGGCGCTGGCATGGGGCCTGGTGGGTTGCTCTGGCAACCGCTGCCGCGCTCTGGTGTGCTGGCTCTCGTGCGCGCTCTGTCCTTTCCCCCGCGTGCCCCAGGGCCGGTCGGGGGGGTCTCTGCCTCACCCCTAGCCGCGCTGTCTCTGCTTGCCAGCTCCATGATGTACTCGGGCGAGCTGAAGTTCGAGAAGAGGACCATGTCGGCCCAGATCGAAGGCGGCGTCCACGGCCTCCACTCGTAAGTGCCCTGCTACTTCCCAGCCCCGCCAGCTCTGCCCGCTGCTTGGCAGCGTCTCGTTACCCAGCAGGGGGTTGCTGGGCTCTGAGCTCCTGGGGGCGTCCCCGCATTTCCTGACTGCCTGGGGAGCTTGGTGCAGGCAGGGGCCCTCCTCTGACCCTGCAGCCCCACAGGCAGCCAGCAGCAGTGACCATCCCACAGGTTCCTGCCCCCCTCTGCCCCCTTCGCCATGTGTCAACTGGGATCCTTCTCTTCCCACCCTCTCCTGCCCCTGCTCTCACTGCTGTGACAGTCAGGCATTGGGTGCACTGTGGTAGCGCCGAGGCGCCCTGCTCATGGGCCGGCTCCCTGGGCGCTGGGTGCTGTACAAACACAGAACAGGAGGGTGCTCCTCGCCCCAAGGAGCTCAGCATCTCCCTCGGAGACAAGAGACCCCCGGAGGATACAGGCAGAGTGGAAAGGATGGGTCCGGTGGTTGAACAACTGCCTGGAGCCGGGTTCCCTGCTGGAAATCCCAAATGTTCTCCTCCCCTTTGGGGGGCAGCAGAGGATTTCTCCGGGGGTGGGGAGGGCCAGGGTGGATCTGTGGAGCTCCCTGTGCCCGCTCCCCCCTCTGGGTGGGCAGCACTATTGTCACTGGAGCAGGCAGGGACCCTCCTCGGAGAGCCGCCCCCCCCCGCTTCGCTCCACGTGGTGCGCTGGGAATGCAGCTAGTCTGGGTGGAGAAGGGGCCTGCAGCCTCGCTCCATGAGGCCCGGGGAGCCGAGGACTCCCAGCCTGACCACAGATCCCTTCTCCGCGCTGGGGGCGGTGCTGCCTGGCCCGGCGTGAGGGACAGCCAGCGGCCGATGCAGAGCGCTGCACGTCCGGTATTCCAGCACCGAGCCCCTCCGGGTGACACAGCTCAGGGATGGCAGCCAGTCACTGCAGGGCAGTCCCTGCCACCCCATGCCCGTGCTGACCTGCCCAGCCCTCGCTAGCTGGGCGTGACCCTGGCGCCGCCAGTCTCCAGGATCCTGTCCCCACTGTGCTGGCAGCGGCTGGCTCCGCGCTGGGGTCTGTTCTGACAGGCCAGAGGGGTGAGGGCGGAGCTGGTAGCAGTGTCCTGGTGGCCAGGAGGAGGTGTTACCAGAGCGAGAGAGAGCTTCTGCTTCTCCACACGTCACTGACCCCTCAGACGCCAGGTCTGGCCCCTCCTGGGGCTGGGCGAACAGCCGTTCCCATGCAGTGCTGGGGACTGTCGCTGGGCGGTGTGCGTCTGACAGCCCCCTGCACTGTCCGCAAGGGAGCGAATCCCAAATGCTCACCTGGCTGCTGCCTCCCTGGTTCTCCCCTTCACAGCAGGGCGATGCTTTGGCTCCCTGCTCCTGCGTCTGCCCCGGGCTATGGTCTCTCTCTGAGCATCGGTGGGACCCCGAGGGGTTGGGTTAGCAGCCCCCTGCCCAAGGGACTGTGTATTGTAGCTAGGACGCTTGGCGCCGTCACGGCATCACCTGCCTGCTGTTGTTACTTGTGTTTATTCCAGTAGTGCCTAAGCACCAGCTGAGATCAGGGCCCCTTGCGCTAGGCGCTGTACGAACACGGGGTAGCAGAGAGTCTGTCCCAAAGAGTTTACAGTCTAAATAGACCAGATGGCTTTAGTGGGTGAGAGCCACTTGCCAGAGCCTGTGGCCATCCACCCTGCATACAGAGGGTGCAGCCTGCGGTTCCCGGCATGCAGAGCTCTGCCTTGCGCCCGGCCCCTGAGGGCAGTGCCTGGGTGCTCAGGCTCGGAGAATTCTGGAGGCCGTTTCTGGCCCAGAGGCTGCGTGTGGTCGCGTGCCAGCCCGTCCCAGTTAACATGCTGCCAACGGGCGGCTCCCAGGTCAGGCAGCACGGAGCGAGCCCCAATAGAGACCCGATGTTTTACCCTGACTTTGTTCAGCCAAAGGGATGGGCCTGCGGGGCCAGCCGTGTGATCTCAGCCCCACGCTGAGCGCTCCTGGGGCATGGGGGGCGAATCAGGCAGCGTATCCGGGAGATGCGGGGTGAGGCCTGGAGACGCCAGCGTCTTTCATCTGTTGGCCTGTGGGAAGGCTGCGGCCTTTGGTTCGTTGCAGGCAGGGGGAGCGTTTAGTTGGTAAAGTCTGCACGGGCACAGCTGGGACGTGGGGGAGCAGCAGAGGGACCCAAGGCTGGGGGTCTGGGTGTGAGTCCAGTCTAGCATCCAGGCGGGGGCTGTGGGGAGCAGTGTCCCATTGCCAGAACAGACACTGATCGTTTTGTTGGAGGTATCGTCAGACAGAGGCCGAGTCCTAGGCAAAAGGCTGCAGTGAAGGCTGAAAAATGTCTGTTCAGGAGACAGGCCTGTCAGCGAACGCAGCGGCTTCTCAGACGCGCGCTCAGCCTGGCCGGCGCGTGGCCGGCTGATTATGGGGTTTTCCCTTTGGCTTTCCAGGCTCTCTCTAAGCGGAGAGCTCCATTTTCCTCTCCTGCGTTCTCCCTTCGGTAACGCAGGCTCGTAACGACGGGCCTGAGAGCCTGGCTGCGACCCGTGTGTGTTGGGGCCGGGGAGACGGGCTGGCCCAGACTAGCCCTCGAGCCCAGCGTGCGGAGAGGCTAGCGCTCTGACGGAGCAGGGTAGAGAATCCACTCGGGTCCTTCAGGGCATGGTCTGTCGCACCGGACGAGCCGGGCACGCTGGTGCCGTGGGAGCGTCCCCACGTAACCAGGGACATGCCCATGGCCTGGCTGTCAGCAGCTTTCAGCCTGCGGGGTGGGGGTGGGGGTTACACCTCAGGGCAGCTGGGCCCGTCTCCCCGGGCCCCTCCCAGCAGGGAGGTACCAGGATGCCCCTGCCCGGAGCATGGCATCGGCACGTTTGCCGATACTCCCTAGTGCTGCAGGGGATCATCTTGTGCTTGGGTGAGGCGGGGCTTGTGCTGTAGTGGAGGTAGCCATGCTGGTTGGCTGGCTGGCCTGTCTATCTTCCCATTCCTCGCTCATTGGCTGAGACTCGAATTCAGCCCCTGCCCTGCCTGGGGGGATTAGAGCGGATGGCACCGGCTCAGCCCTCCCCGGCGTTAACCCGCCTCCGCTGTCCCCTCCCCGGCAGGCTCGCCGGGCCGGGCTCCCTGCCTGGGGGGCTGCTGGCGCTCGCATGGGACGATCCTGCGGCTGGGGGAACGCTGTGCGGGTCCCATTTCTAGCGCCTCCTGCGCAAATCAGGATCTTTGGCTGTCCTCATCCCCCCTCCCACCCGAGGGCAGAGCAGCCCTGGCCGGCCCTCATCCCCCTCGGACCCTCCACGGCAGCGAGATGGAGCGCAGCGGCGCCTGCCCACTCCCCGTGGCGCCCTGCCGTCGTGTGCGCTGGCCAGATGCACAGGCGTGACCCGCCGGAGGGAGTTGGTGGCAAAGGAGAGACGCTGTTCTCTCAAAGCGAGCAGTCAGGCACTTACAGCCTCGGATGGTTCCTCCAGTCACTTCCGCCCCGGGCCTGCTGGCACTTGCAGATTTCTGCCCTCCCCGGTTAGCTGGCAGTCGAGGCTCTGCTGTAATTGCCAGTGGGGGTTTAGTTGAGAAACACTCTGCTGCCAGCTCCTTTACGTGTGTCTTCGTTTTATTTCCTTCCCTGACTGTTCCTGGTGCCGGAGGCACCTTCCGACCGAGCGGCCAAGCCAGTCTCCCCGGCGTCCCACCGTGCCCGTCGCGTGATGAACTCACTCCTTGTTGGGCCCCGCCGGGGTCACTTCCTTTGGGTGGGAGCCGTGTCCTAGGCTGCTGGTCCTTCTCCGCCAGAACCCGCCCGTCCGGAGACGCTCATCTAACGCGCTCCCTGCTGGAGTGAGCCGTGAGGGGAAAGAGATTCTCTGGCCCCCAAAAGGGGCTCTCCTCCCTGAGCTCCCACTCCTCCCACGCCCTGTAAGTCGGGGCTCCATGCTGGAGACCCCTACTGCTGGTACCCAGAAAGGGTCTGCAGCCCCTTCAGCCAGCTCCCCTTGGCACCAGCTGGGCGTTGGCACTGGAGCCCAGTACCGCCTGCACCCCGCTGTGAGGGCAACCCACGGTGCAGCTCCTCTTTCCCCGAACAGAGACCAAAGAAATTGAGTTAGGAATGAGTATGGAGTGGCAGGTCGCCCCTCGGTCCTGCCCGGCCCACAGAACGCACGGGGGCTCGGGCCCAGACGAACACGTCCGTGATCAGACAGCAAAACTCTGTCTCAGAGTGTTGGGTCACGTGGCACCAAGCAGAGATGTGACGCCGCTTGCCAGAGGTCACCTCCTCTCTCTCCGGGATGGCTGAACGTCCTATGGACGCTCAGCTCCTGGGCCTGACGGCTGGCCGAACCCCAGGCAGTCTGCAGAGGGAATCAGGCACCCCTCCCAAGGGGAGTGACTGCAGATGCCCAGAAAGAGTCCTGACCCCATGTCAACGGGCTGGAATACGGGGCAGTTGCATTGGCTGCAGAACGTTCCTACAGTTCCGAAAGGAACCACGGTGCAGATGCGGACGGATGGCCCCTCCGCGGCAGGCGGGGGTACCCGCTGTCAGCTGCTGATCCAGCAGGGGAGGAGGGACCGGTGCATGGAATAAATGCCATGGCTCTCCTCCCCCCGGGAGTACATCGCAATCTGGGCAGACAGTGCTGAGCCAAACACGTGTGTCACTGAAGGACTCCTCTGTTCTCGGACCTGCTCGCCCCCAACAGGAACAATAGACGCCTTCTCTTCTGTCCCAGACCACCAGCCCACGGTCCCTCCAGGAAGCCTGCCCCATGCCCTCTATGCCGCCCCACCCCCAATGCCCAGGGTCGTAAGGAAGACGAGGCAGGATGCAGTCGCATGCATAGCCCCTTACTGGGCCAGCCAGCATCAGCTACCAGCCCATACAGCTGCGCCCCTCCGTACAGATGCTGACTGTCGCCAATCCCTCATCCAGACCCAGCGATTGTACAGCCGATGGCGTGGAAGCTGGCGGAGCCCTGCAGCCACGGATGGCTCTAGAGAACCCTACAAGAA